GATTAAAAAAAAAAAATAGCCATCCACACTGGTCACGGGGTAAACTGAGGTACAAATACTGTCTGCTATCTGGACCAGGCCTGAAAACCTAAGCAAACCTTGGTCTTTTATCCCAAGTGCCCCTGCCACTGACAAGTTCAAAACGAACAGATCCCAGGTGGTTTCCATGTGTACAAGTCACAGCATCAGCCTGGAAACAACAGCTGATTTCCCAAGCGTAGCTGCCTTTTAGCTTTTCATCTGAGAGACCTAGCGTCACACTGGAGCCATAGCTGGCTTCGAACTTGCTACAATCCTGCCTCGGCCTCTGGAGTGCTGGGATTATAGGTGTGTGGCCCTGCACCTGGCTGAAGTGCCTGATTTTGACTGGGCCTCTACTTCAAACCCTCCACGGCTCCCTCTCTCCCCAAGTGGCCCTTGGACAACTCAGAACAGTCTGGAAAAGAGTCTGTGGCCAACGTACTTCCTCATGAGGAAGCGGTTGATGGTCTTTTGCTTCCGCATCACCTGGACGATCTTCCGGTTCAGGTAGACAAAGAGGGCTCCCCCGAAGCCACTGGCAATACTGGAAAGAAGGAAGCACCAAGGTGGAGGGGAGGTCTTCTCATGGAGACCCCCCCTGTCCCCCCGTCCGTTCCCCCCCCTCCCGTCCGCTCCTTACCCAATGACGGCAAAGGCTGGCAGCTCCTGTAGGTCAAAGGGGAAGTCGAGTCGGAACCGGGTTTTGAAGAGAGCAGTAATGGTTTCTGAGGGGAAGCAGCAGAGGGGCAGCAGGTAAACCTGTGCCGCACTTGAATTACCCCAGATGCCCTCGCTGCCACCAACATGCCCCACCTTCATCACGGTTCCAGACCGCCAAGACCCGAAAGATGAAGGCACTGAAGGTGGCCGCGAAGAAGCCCCGCCAGTAGTTCCTAACAGCGAAGAAGGTGGAGGTGACCTCAATGCTGAATAGGACCCCTGCAAGGGGGCAGAGGACATCGGCCTGTGGACTTGCTCCCGGGAGAAGAGGGGTGGAGGAGGAGAGGCCCAGCGCGGGGCGACGCTATGGGACTGGAGCCACGCCTACCTCCGATAGGGGCTGCGAAGCAGCAGCCCACTCCTACTGCGCACGCGGCAGCCAGCATCTCCGTGTTCCGGGATTCGTTCTGGCAAGGGTTGGGGACACCGTGTCAGTTTGGGCTCAGCACCCCTCCCCCCAGGTCTTAGGGCTCTCCTCTTACCTCGTAGATACCCCCAAAGAGGGAGAGGAACTTGCTGAGGAGGGCAGCACACATGCTGGCGATGTGCACAAAGGGTCCCTGGAGGTAGGGTGGGTTGTGAGTAGGGATGGGGCCTTCCGGACCTTGGCCTGACCTTCTCGTCCAATGGGAGGGACTCCTTCATTCCCCAGCCTGCAATTACCTCTTTGCCAAGGGGCATCCCACTGCCCAGGGCACACGTTAGCCCAATGACCTTAGCGACGAAGGTCTTGAGGGTGAGGTATTCTTTTAGCACCACTCCCCGAAGGATGGTTTTCATCTCAGGGATGCCAGATCCTGCAGAGGTACACATCCAGGAAAGTTGTCTGACAGGCCTCCTCATTCAGGAAGCTTGACCGCCCCCTCCTCCCAACCCATCCCGTCCTACCGACAGCCTGGGGGGCCAGGATCTGGGTGAATCCAGCAGAGAAAGTGATGAGGACTACGGGGTAGGTAACCCAAGCCAGGTACTGGAGTAAGATGTTGGTGTTTAAGCCCCGGGACATCCACTGCTGAGCTGTGGGCACAGGACATGCTTGCTGGACTTCCAGGGCACATATCCACACCTTGCCCGACACTGGGACACACTGATAGGACAAGGGCACAGAGCTGGGGCGCAGAGAGACGGGAAGGCCCTAGAAGGCATCCACTGGGACAAAGCCCATCACAGATAAGACGGTTGGAGGGCAGGCAGGAAGGTGTGGCCTATGCCAGTGGCAGGAACTATGCCTGGAGATGGGCAGTCAGCCTGGCCAGACAAAGTGGCCAGTAGCCAAGTTACTTAAACAACCGTGGCATGGAGGAAACAGGTTGGCTGTTCCCAGCCTTGGCCCTCACCCTGTAGACAGACAGCGATGGCATAGTCCATGGCCCAACTGACCAATGCCATGAGGAGCCCCAACAGGACCAGGAAGATCCAGTCTTCACCAACCCGGGACACTAGGAACTTGTGGCAGCGTACAGAACAAACTGGAAGCAGGGAAGGGAAGATCCATAGAGAAGCTGGTACCAAAGTGCTGCTACTCTTCTCCGTCTCTCCCCATCCCCCACGGGCAGCTCTAACGGTCTCTGCCTCCCCCAGGATAGAACAGCCAGGTCCCTGCCCCTATCCAGATCTCACTGCGGCATCTGGCACATCGGCTCTGTCCATATTCCAGGAGCTCTGGGGGAGCCCGGGCAGAAGGGGACCCCTTCCAGGGCTCAGGCCCTCCCAGGCGAATCCGAGCAGCTTCCTCTTTGGCAAAGGCCCCAAGTTCCTGAGTGTACCGGCCATACATCTGGAGCAATAGACAAAATGTGGCGTTAGTATGTGTGGCTGAGGTGGGGATCTGGGGAGGGTTCCTGGGCTGACTCCCCTTCGCGCAGCTCCCACACTTGTGTACCCCGTCTTGAATCCGGTTTTCACTCAGCTCAGAGTGTGGGAACAATGTACATTGTAGACTGCGGGGGCTGTCTTGGCCAGAGTGATGGGGACAGACAAGGTACAGGGACACAACTCTGGGGGTGGCAGAATAATCAGTCCTCTTCTAGTGAGCCAGGGGTGAGGGCACTGGGGAGGAGAGGAAGGGTCCAGGGCAGGGGCAAGATGGAAAAACCTAAGGCACAGGCTGAAAGTGGGAGGCGGGAAGGTCAAGGGCATGTGAGCAACAATAAGAGGCTGGTGGAGCCGAGGGCCGCCGAGCTGGGCCTAGGAGGTCCCAGCCCCAATCCTTATCACGTTCCCGCTGGGCCTTTGGCCTGTGACCAACTCAGCGGCACCCTTCCCACCCACCCTAATCCCTTGTCCTCATTCTCCGCTCCCAAACCCCCATGAGCCCGTCAGCCCAGCTGAAAGTGGAAAGCCTCTTTGGGTGTGTAAGGCAAGTGTTGGGTGGTTTCAGTCCTCCTCTGGAACTGCACTTGGGACAAGTGACAGATCCTGGGGGACAGCGGAGGCTGTGGATGGCAAGGCTGTGACTGTGGACACGAGGCTGATGGGAAGGGACAGAGTTATGGCTGGACCTGCCAAGCTGGGCGTGTGTTGGGGGGTGGGGAGGAGTAGAATCTGGCTGCCACCCGCGGAGCTCCAGGACACAAAGGGCTCCTGTTGGGGTTGGGGTTTGTGGTTGGGGGGGGGAGGGATGATAGAGACACAGAGTGAGACAGAGAGGGCAGGAGAAGCCGAGGGGAGAGGAAATACATAGGAAAGAAGAGCGAGGGCCGGGAGGAGGAAGAGACTGGAGTCTAGAAACACAGCAGGTGGGAGGCGGTGAGGGCAAGACAAAAGGGTAGGAGGGGAAGTGGGAGAGGCCAGAGCCGGGAAAGCCCGACCCTGAGAACTCATGTCACAGACGGGGAGATGGAGCGGCGGCGGCGGCTGGTGCAAGAGAGAGACCATTTCAGAGGTTAAGTGCCTGGCTTCCATGGCCAAACGTCCCTCTCCTTGACCTGTGGATGGCAAGGGTAACAGCCATCACCAACAAAAGAGCTTGCCTCCACGAGCGAGCGTCGTCACGCTTGCTCAAGCTACCACCTCTCCCGGTTATCCTGTTTCAGACAGTCTCTGGTAATTGGGCACCTCCCTGACTCAGTTACAGTCCTCTCTAAAAGAGGTTCCTCCCTGCCACCCTCCCGGGCAAATTCCAGCCTAAGCTGATAAAAAGGAGCCATAGGGCCAGTTTCTTCCTGCAGGCCTTGGGCCCCCCACCCTAGTGACAGGAGGGTGAATGGCTTCCCCACAGTGGTGGCCATGAATCATCTCAAAGCTCAGGACCCCTGCTTCTTATGAGGTCAAGGGACACTCCATGGGCGTGGGTGCTGGTGGGGGGTACCTGCCTAGATCCAGCCTGAACAAAGGTTCCAGTCCTCACACCCATTCCTACTTCCTGCATCAACCCTAAAGCTTCAGGTGACAAGCCACCAAAGCCACCTCTTTCCCAAAAGTTCAACTGAGGGGTTCTTGTCAATGCTGGACTTTGAGCCTTTAAAGGCAGGGGGGTAGGTTTGGATTTGATCCCTTGCCCACAACAGTCTTTATGCCCAGCTTAGTGCCATGCCATAGTAGGGACCCAGGGAGGGTGTTGAATGTGGATAGGCGTGTGGAGAAAGTTCAGAGGTATGGGTGGTACTCAGAAAGGGTACTGGGGTGCTGTAACTTTGGGCTCGAGTGGTAACTGGAAAAAACAAAAACGTGTATGCAGAAGGGAGTAAGGGGAAGGACACCTGGGCCAAGCACCTGGTGTCATTGTCCTCTGCAGGCCACCAGCCTCAGCCAGAAGCCAGCAAGCAGCTTTCCAACACCCCGAACCTGAACCTACAGCCTGTCGGATCCCGAACCTCAGTTTCCACAGCCGAGGAAGGCTGAGGCCGGGCTAGGGTAGGCCGCCTGTCCTCACACTTCTAGGGCAACCGGCAGCAGTGGGGCCATAGCGCACCCCTTGGGTTTCACTTACCAGGGTCTGCTCATACTGCAGCGCCCGAGGCTCCATCCCTTCCCCCGCCGCCGCCGCCGCCGCCGCGGCCGCTGAGGCCGCCATCTCCGGGCGCCCTGTCCTCCTGCCTCCCTCGGCTTCTCGGGCTCTGGCCTTGACTCAGCTCCCGGCCCGCCGAGCCCGCGCCCTCACCCGTCCCGTCCCCTCAGCCCCGGCGGCCGAGTGCAGAGTGCGACGGGTCCCCGGGCGCGCGCCGCAGGCACAGCCTCCCGCTAGCGTCCCCTCCTCGGCGGGCGGGCCGAGGGCGGTGCCCTGCTGGCTGCTCCGCCCTGGCCCATCTGCAGGGGCGTCCGGGGCCGGCCGGGGTCTGCATAGGAGCCGCCTCCCGGCCTCCGGAGAGGCGGCAGGGGGCGCCTGCAACGCGGTCGCGCACCCCTCGGCCCGGGAGGCGGGAGGCTGACCCAGCCCCGAGAGGGTGCGGGGGCCGGGCGGGGGCGGGTCCGCTGGCACGTGGAGGGGGCCGGGCTCTGGGGCGGCAGCAGCGTTGTGCGGGAGGGGCTGAGGATGTAGTGACTCTAGGGCTGGGGCAGGGGGCTGCTGGAAAGGCTCATTCGGGCTCTCCGGGCCAGACCCGACTGGGGCAGCCTCCGCTTCGCGCTTGCAGGCGGCTCAGATGGATCTGCGAAGATCCCTGAGAGCCTTCTTCCTTATCGCCTCCCTTTCTCCTTCTTTTCCTCTGGGTTCCCCCCCCCGGGAAGGTGCACCTGGAATTGCTAGGCCTGGAGAGAGGGGGCGGAGGTGGAGGTGGGAGGGGACGGGAAGGGGTGAGGCCCGAGGGAAGGGAGCTATTGGTGCGGGGGAGGCCGTTCCTGGGAGGCGGGCGCGGGGGAGCAGAGGTCGCTCCTCCCAGGCATCGCTGAAAGGGGGAACTTGAGTAGCTGCTGACGCCTCGGGGAAGCGGCTTACTGGGGCTCCACATTGTCTTTCAGGGTCCTTGGAGGGATAAGAACAGTGTGGCGTGGGCACAAAAAAGATGGGCAGTGTCCGGTTGGTGCCACTGGAGAGGACGGTGTCCAGAAGTCTCTGTGGAAAGAACAGTTGTACCAGGATGAAGACTCATTCAGGAAACAGGGTGCTCAAGGGGGAGGGTACGATGCCCAGTACCGGGGCTCCAATGAAAGGAGGTAGCACCTAGAAAGAGGGCACTACGAGCTGTCGCCTCCCAGGGAAAGGCCAATGTTGGGTGAAGGCGCACTAGATCAGTGTCCAGAAGAGGGTAGTATAGTGGGGTGACAGGCAGTACCAAGTTCAATTGGCAGTGTTCTAGGGGATCAGAGTGTGAGGTTAGTGCCAAGCAGGGCCAAGGGAAGACGGGAGTGCCGAGGAGGTGAAGCCCCAGGGGAGGGCACAATGCGGGCTTTCCTTTCCCTGAGAGTGACATCATGGCAAATTCCCAAACCGGACGGACCCGGCTCGGGTGACGTCTAGCTGGTCCGAGCCAGCTCGGACCAGCGTGGGGGACCTTGGTGGCAATCCGAGGTCCGAGGGGCTGGGCGGGCGCTCTGCGGGCGGGGTTCTCCTCCACCCGCCTGCAGCACGGACTGTGCCCTCGGCCGGCACGCGGACCGCAGGGAAGGGCTGGGCCGGGCTTCTCGGGGCCAAGGATCAAGGTTCCCGGCTGGGTTAGGCCCCCAAGCTTCCCCGAGCGTCGGCATCCCGGGTCTGGAGAGGGCGCTGTAGAGCCGGGCGCAGCGCGGTACCCGCCGGGGGTGGGACTTGAGTCTGTCCCCGCCTTGGGCGGAGTCACTGGGCTTTGAGACTCGCCCACAAGGCCCGAGCTGCTCCGAGGCGGCCTTTCCCGGCGGAAGTTAAGGAGCCCCGAGGGGGAAGGCGGCGGAAGTGGCTGCGTTAGGGCCGCCTGTGCGCATGCGCCCTCTGCCTCGGTTGCCGCTTTTGGGGCGGTCCTCCGCCCTGTCTTCTCTCCTCCACGTGAGGGGGTGCGCGAGTTCCCGGTGGTGGCCGCGCGCTCCGCACCTCTGCAGCCCTCGTGCCCCTCACGATGGCGGGCATCCTGTTCGAGGATATTTTTGACGTGAAAGACATTGACCCAGAAGGCAAGAAATTTGACCGAGGTAAGGTGTGTAGGGGAGGTTTGAAGGCAGAGGCCAACGTGCCCACCCAAGTGGCCCGTCCCACCCTCTCGGTACCTCGGTACCTCCCTCAGGAAACAGTTTTTTTTTTCATGATGAGAAACTTGAGACAGCTTTTCCTACGGTATCTGCGGTGTCTTGTGCCTGGGTGGCCCTTAGCTTTGGTGCTGGTAAACCCCCGGGCCCTTTTCCAACTCCCTCTTCAGTATTACGTGCTGTACCGTGCGCCTCTCTCACTTAACTGTTCTGGTAAGAGGGAGATAGGGTGCCTTACCGTATATTTTGTTACTTAAGGCTGTGCAGCGAGTTGCCTGCCTGTCTTCCTAACCCATAGTTTTGCGGAATTGTTAGCTCTCTTCGAAGTCGTCTTTTTTAAATTCAGCTGATCGCTTGGTGTATTTTCCCAGTGGTCCGGAAATTGTTTCTTCTTGGTGTCACTTTGCCTGGCGACAGTCCCCCCCAGAGTCTCTCTGTGTAGCTCTGGCTGTCCTGGAACTCGCTTTGTAGACCAGACTGGCCTCGAACTCGCAGAGATCCGACTGCCTCTGCCTCGCAAGTGCTGGGATTAGGGGCGTGAGCCACTGCCGCCCAGCATTTTTTTTTTTTTTTTTTTAGGCAGGTGTCAGTTCTCAATACACCCTGCAGATTCCCTCAGCAGAGTGCCTACCAGGAAGAGGGCATCTCTGGACAAGTAACTATCTTGTTCAGAGTGAAGTGTAGTTAGTCTAAATCGTCCAGGCATGCTTACAGCCCAGAGACAGGTTGCTGCTGGAGAAGTTTTGCTTCTTTCTTGGGATCCTGTCACCTGCTGAGTTTTTTAACTTTCTTCCTTCTCATGACCCGAATTCGGATTGCATTTGTGCTTTGGGGATGCAGAGCAAGGCTACGGGGTGTGGACCTGCTGGGTGGTTTGTTCTCTTGCATTAGACCCCCAAGGTGGCCTCTGTGATTATGTCTGTCACTCTTCCCAGTATCTCGGCTGCACTGTGAGAGTGAATCTTTCAAGATGGACCTCATCTTAGACGTAAACATTCAGATTTACCCCGTAGACTTAGGTAAGTGTTGAGCACAGGCAATAAAAGAGGCTTTATGTCCTTGGCTCCTGCTTCTTCACTCAGACATTGACACTCTTTTCAGGTGACAAGTTCCGATTGGTCATAGCTAGCACTTTGTATGAAGATGGTACCTTGGATGATGGTGAATACAATCCCACAGATGACAGACCTTCCAGGTGAGGCAGCAGGAAAGGAGGGACCGAAGAGCTAAGTAGTATACAGAAAGGCCTCTATTTAGTTCTAGGAAAAGACATGGTTGCACTTAGAATTCAGACAACAGGAACTGGGTATGATGCTTTGTGTCTGTAATTCCAGGACTTGGGGGATGAGGCAGGAGGATCAGGGGTTCAAGAACATCTTTGGCTTCATGTAAGTCTAACACCAATCTGGGCTCCAAGAGACCCTGTCTCTAAAAAATTTGAAAAAAATATTCACAGTCACTGAGAGCAGTGAGTGTGAGCTTGTGAGCTGCAGTTATTTCTTTAGTGGAGACACGGTCTCACTTTGTAGTCCTGGTTGGCTTGGACTTTGTGGACCACGCTGGCCTGGAACTCACAGAGGACATCTACCTCCTCTGCCTCCTCAGTGTTGGAATTAAAGGGATATGCCGCCACACCCTGCAGTTGTAGCCTTTTTTTTTTTAAAATTGGTCTTTCAAGACAGGGTTTCTCTGTGTAGCTTTGCACCTGTCCTGGATCTCACTCTGTAGACCAGGCTAGCCCCAAACTCACAGAGATCCGCCTGCCTCTGCCTCCTGAGTGCTGGGCTTTAAAGGCATGCGCCACCGCCGCCTGGCTTTGGTTTCTGTTTTTTTTTTTTTTTTTTAAAGATTTATTTATTTATTATGTACACAGTGTTCTGCCTGCATGTGTCCCTGCAGGCCAGAAGAGGGCACCAGATCTTATTATAGATAGATGTGAGCCACCATGTGGGTGCTGGGAATTGAACTCAGGACCTCTAGAAGAGCAGTCAGTGTTCTTAACCTCTGAGCCATCTCTCCAGCCCTGGTTTCTGTTTTTAAAGATCTCTTATGCTATTGGTCACTGTGAAGAATAACTTTGCGTATTGTTTGTAGGGCTGACCAGTTTGAGTATGTAATGTATGGGAAAGTGTACAGAATTGAGGGGGACGAGACCTCAACGGAAGCAGCCACGCGCCTGTAAGTAACATTGTTGGGGAAATCTTCCCCCTCCCTGTTCTGAAACTGGGCCATGCTTCTACATCTACCTTGGGTCCACTTTTTTCTGTACTCCAAACCCAGGCAGAAGAATTTGTCTTGGGAACTGTTTCCAGTCTATTGGTTACTTACATCACCTGTTACCAGGCTTTCAAGGCCCTGTAGTCCACAGGAGACTTTGGTAGTCTTGCTTGGTGAGGGACAGCAGAGAACATCTTCCTGGCAGACCACAGGCAGCATTTCATGACTAGGCCTTTTTGTTTTTGTGTTTACTTGTGTATGTGTGGCTACTCTGTAATCCAACCCTTGGTTCTTTGGTTTCCCTGCCTAGTTTTTGTTTGTTTGTTTTGTTTTGTTTTGTTTTTCTTTTCTTTAAAATTCTGTTAAACAATGTGGTTGTTAGAAACTAAAGCAGAGAAGTAATGTGAAAAAGAACAGAAGTCCCCCAGGAGAATGTTTTTTTACGTACAGTTTGAAGAGCTGGCGTGCTGGCGCACTCCTTTAGTCCCAGGACTTGGGAGGCAGAGGCAGGTGGATCTCTGTGAGTTCCAGGTAATCTGGTCTGCAGAGTGAGTTCCAGGACAGCCGGGGCTACATAGTGAGATCTTGTTTTGAGAAAACAAAAACAAGCAAGAGTTTGAGTGGTCTAGCTTTTTTTTTTTTCTTTGTTTACTTTCCCTTTAAGTTCCTTTACAACTTTTTTTTTTTGTTTAACATGTTTCCCCTTGTTAGTTGAAAACTCTCCGTCTTTTTTTTTTTGAGACAGCGTCTCTCTATGTCGCCTGGGCTGTCCTGAAACTCAATATGTAGACCCAGGCTGGTGTTGAACTCGGGATCTACCTGACTGCCTCTTGCTGCTGGGATTAAAGGCATGTGCTACCCTCCTGATTCCTTAACATTTTCAAAAAAGTATGTGTGTGTGTGTGTGTCTGTGTGTCTGTGTGTCTGTGTCTGCGTCTGCATGCGCACATGCACATGCACCTGGGTGTTTGTATGTGTACCATGTGCAGGCATGAGACCACCAAGGTAAAAAAGGGGCATTGGACACCATGGAAATGGAGTTATGGGGTGGTTGTGAGATGCCATGTGGGTGCTGGGGTGGGGGCGGTGAATCCTGGTCTTCTGCATTCTTCAAGGACTGTTAAGTGATCTTAAAGGCTGAGCCATCTCTCCAGCCCCTACCTCAGCAATCCCGTACCTATGTGACATGGCAGTGAATGGTGAGGCCTTCATTTGTGTGACTAGTCTCCTGTTTGGGGCACGCACAGCAGCATTTGCTCCTCCACTAGAGTAAGCAACACTGCTTTGTGCATGTCTGCATTCAGTTTTGTCCTAATCTTTGGTTCCTAATGACAGAATACTAGGGGAGTGCCTTTAAAAAAAATGATGGAGAGAGAGCTGCTGGGAAGCAGCTGCCTCAGAGCTCAGACTCAGGACCGGGGCCTTGTGTTTCAGCTCTGCGTATGTGTCCTATGGGGGCCTGCTCATGCGGCTGCAGGGTGATGCCAACAATCTGCACGGATTTGAGGTGGATTCCAGAGTCTACCTGCTGATGAAGAAGCTGGCGTTCTGAACCTCGTGGGAAACCTGAGCTGAAGCTGGTGGTGTTTGCCTGTGAAGGGGACTGGGCTGTGTGTCCACTGTGGGTACATCTTCAGTTTGTCCGAATTCAACGGAAAACTGATGTGTCTGTGAAAGACCAACTGGGAGAGCTTAGCATGAATCTGAAGTTGTGTGTGATTTTTTTTATTTTTAAATTAAAGCTTACTTTTTCAGACTCTTCTCCTGAATTGGGGGTGGAGGCATGCAGGGTTTTGCTTTTGCTGTGTAGCCCAGGCTGGCCTTGGACTCAGTCCTCCTGCTGCTGCCTTCTGAGTTCCTGAGATTTCCTCACACCTGGTGTATGCAATGCTGAGTCTCAAAACCAAGGCCTTCTGTGTGCTACAAGGGAAAATTAATCTTTCTCTCTCTCTCTGTGTGTGTGTGTGTGTGTGTGTGTGTGTGTACACACTTCCACCATCTGGGTCCTGGGGATTGATGTCAGGGCAAGCTCCTTTATCCACTGAGGCTTTTTTTTTTTTTTTTTTTTGCTGGCCCCCAGTTGGTCTCTTGGTGTCTTGGGTCTGTCACAGGAGCTGGTCGCCCTGCTGGCATGCCTGGGGTGTTTCCTTCCCCATCTTTTTTTCAGTCTTTACAAGAGGTGTCAGAAATAGTATTTAGGGAAATGGGTTGAAAATGAGTGGCCTCAGCAGGGAAGAGTGGCCTCAGCAGGGAAGAGCAAAGTCGTTTTTTTTTCTTTTTTTAAACCTTCCACAGTAGGGCGTGTGTGACACATTGGGGGTTGGGTTGAATCTTAACGGAGTCTTTTAGTCATCCCATGGAGTCGGGTGTCTGCAGGGTTGAAGAAAGATGGTTACGGTAGAAGACCCTCATCAGAAACCGTGATAGAATGTCGAGGTAGACAGTAGGCTGCCCCAGCAGAGAAGAGGGGAACGTAGTAGAAAAGTGCTTTTTAAAGAATTTTCAGACGGTTATTTGTATGCGGGTGAGGGAGAGCATAACTTTGAGGAGTCCCCTTTCACGACCGCGTGGGTCCCAGAGAGTGGACTCACGAGGTCAGGCTTGGGGTCACCTTCAGCTGTTCAGCCCTCTTACCAGCATACTCGTGTGTGCGCGTGTGTGTGTGGGTGTGGTGTCGGGCAAGAAAGGGTGCAATCAGCTGCACAGAATGATCTGGTTTAGACTTTCTGCCTTGGTTTTGATGGTGTAGGGGTCAACCCAAAGCTTACTGGGCAAGTAAGTGTCACATCACTGAGCTGAAAAAGTATTTCTTAAAAGGTGGAGTCTGAAACCCCAGCTGGTCTGAAACTTACGTAGTTAGGATGACCTTGAACTTGTGATCCTCCTGCCTCAACCCCACAAAGTGCTGCGCTTACAGGCATGCACCGTCACACCTAGTTTCAGGGTTAGTCTTAAGAGGGCAGATTTCAGATCGGTTTACATTGTAGAAACCGGTTTCTCAGATTAGCCCGTATCAGATGCCTGGAACATTAGCTATGTTGCAGGTCTGTGGCCTCACTTGTCTTCCGACCGATGAGAACCACAGTTTTTGGCCTCTGCCTTATCTTGTTCTGGGTGCCAACTCTTCTGTGATGTAAAGTGTTTGGCTTGATGATTATGGTGTTTTGTTTTGTTTTTATCATGCTGAGGATTGAACCCAGGACTTTGTGTGTGCTAGGCAAGAGCCCTACCATTGAGCTATGTCCCTGCCATGAAAATTAATTTTTGAGACAGTCTTGGCTGGGCAGTGGTGGCACACGCCTTTAATCGCAGCACTCGGGGAGGCAAAGGCAGGTGAATCTCTGAGTTCTAGGCTAGCCTGGTCTACAAAATGAGTTCCAGGACAGGCTCCAAAAGCTACACAGAGAAACCCTGTCTCAACCCCTCCCAACCCACCCACCCCCAAAAAAAAAGGAAAAGAGAGAGTCATAGTTTAGGCTAGACTGAAAGTCCTTATATAGCTCAAGGTGGCCTTGAACTCCTGATCCTCCTGTCTCTACCTTCCAAGTGTTGAGTTTACAGGCCATCATGTCCAACTTTTTTCCCCTTTTAACTTTGATTTATTATTTTCATTTGTGTGTGTGTGTGCGCGCGCGCAAATGTGAGCGTCATCATGTGATGGCGTGCATAATGGAATTGGAGGACAGCTTTTGGGAATTGGTTCCTTCCTTTCCCGTGGGCTCCAGGCGTCAAACTCAGACCAGCTTGCACACTAAGCACGTCCACCTCCTGGGCCATCTCACTCACCCTACGTGTATTTTTAAATGTTAAAGTTAACAACAAATTACAAATTATACTTACGTTATCCTAGAATTGGTGTGGATAAACTCCCTCTTGTGTACAAACTGACACTGTGAGATTTTTATAACTTTTTTTTTTTTTTTTTTAGCTTTGTGCGTTTGTTGATTCTTCTCCAGGTCCTGCCCACAGGGACACCTGGAGATGGCTGAATTGTCATCCCCACCACAAGCTCTGGTCTTCTACTCAAGAGCTTCTTAAGGGCATGTTTACTCTCCAAGGACGCAGAAGTCTCTGTGTTACATAGACTCACTGAAGGACATATCAGACAGGGCACCACACTGGGTAGATGAATGGGCTGCCACTCAGACTGGGTGTCTTTTTTATGCCTGAAGGCTGTGTGAGCATTGGGAAGCCCATCTGGCCTTGGTGTCACCATGTGTAAAACAAATGGATAATACCTACCATACAGAGTTGTGGGGGAGACTCTGGGGCACCTGTTGCCTCTGTGAAGAACACCTTTCCCTTGCTTTTTTTGTGGCAATGTTTGGAACTTTGCGATCCTGCCTTCTCTGCCTATGTGGTAGCCTTTCCTCCTTTTCTGTGGGACAGAAGTAAGGGAGATGCTCTCCCGAGCCTTCTCACAGACTCTGGGGTAGCTAGCAGGTTGCCCATGGCAATACAGTTTTCGGTTTTCTGCACCGTAAACGTCTATCACCAACAAAGCACTTACTTGCAAAACCCCAGAAGACTGCCTTCATTTTGGGGGTTCCCAGTAGAGTTCATGGTGGTCACACAAGGCTGCTTTTTAGATGCCTCCGCTGCTCTGTGCTGGTCCTGCTGTGTGAGCTGTGGAGCCCGACTCCTGCCACTTCCTGCACTTCCGCCTGACCTCCACAGGAGGGAAGCAGGAGCCCAGGCCTGGCCAAGCTCCTGCTGAGCTGCTGATGCACTTAGCTGTTTGCTCAGCTGCCACATCCAGGTCTAGTCTTCCTGAACCGCCTGCACAGCCTCACCTGGGGTGTGGAGTTCCCCAGGCTTCCTGTTAGCTTTCTTGGGAGGTAGGGTCCAGGAGATCTGTTGTCCCAGTGAAGAACATCGCTCCCTGACTTTAGTTGGCTTCTGGATGCTCTCATTTATTCTCCTCCAGGCTCAGTTTTGTCTCTAAACAGGGGCAGCCTTTCTGAGAGTTAACTTGCTGTTCCTTTATCAAGACCAGCATCTCTTGACCAGTCTCACTTAGCCTCACAGTGAGGGGAATGAGGGCATTGGGGGCTTAAACTTGAAGCAAAGGAAACAACCTTCTTGTTTTCTGATACAATGATAATCTCTGCCTCCGTTCAAAGACTAGGCCAGTCTAGCCCTTTGTAGAAAACACATATAGAGAATTAGTGATTTTCAAATTTATACAGAAAATAGACCAAAGATAACTAGCTGCTCTGATGAATATTGCTGATAGGTTAAAAAAAAAATAGCTCCTAAAGTTTTATGACAGCCTGTCCTGTGTACCCCTTTCCCAGGGAAAGCGGGACGTGTAGTGCAGATGCAGTGCCCTCTCGAAGCCTCTCCTGGGGAAGGAGGCTTGTGCCTCAGAGAAGTTGCAGATGCTGGTGGTGCCCATGTGCCTCATGCTCCCTGAGACAAATTCTGGGAATGAGGGTGCACTGGGATTGGATGAGGACTGGCAGAGTTAGGCACAGGGGTGGAGGGATCAGGGAAGGGGGCGTGGAACTGAGGTGGAGACCTGTAGGTGGGCAAGGTAGGTGAAGGAGAGAAGAGTGTGTGTCCATCAGCATGGAGAGGAGGAGGAGGAGGAGGATATCCACTTTGGAGGCTGAGTGGCAGGGAGCCTTTGTTCAAAGCTCCTGGCAGAATGTCTGGGGCTTCCACGGTCTGAAATGAGGCCGCAGCATGAGTTCCATTCACAGGTCCGTGTGTCCTGTTCAGGTATCCAGCGATCTGGTGTGGGAACCTGGAGGTTTGATTCAGCTGGCCAGGGACAATCTTGGTTCTGAGTCCTTGAAGCCTGCTCAGAAGCCCAGGGCCAGGAGTTCCGGCTAAAACACTGAAGTTCGCCTCCAACAATGCAGAAGTCCTGTTTGGGAGCTCGTTTAGGGTGAGGAGTTGGGCGGTACCGCGTGGGGCAGCTGTGGTGGGCGGAGCCCGTCTGACACAGAGGGTGGGGCCTTCTGCCAGCAGCAGGAAGCGCACCTTTCCTCGAAGCAGTTGTTGGAAGTTCAAGAAGATAGCGTTGGGATCCCTGTGAGCTGTGGTCCTGCCCTGTGGGGGAAGCTGAGGGCAGAGGATGGGCCTGAGCCCAGAGAGCAGGCCCACATACCAGCCTCTCTTGACTAAGGAGAAAAAGTTCATTGCCAGCAGCCAGGTGTCCCGGCTGGGAGGCAGCACTCCTGATGGGTCAGCCTTTCCACACTGAAAGTACCCAGAATCCCTTGTCTCCCCAGGTCTCTAGAGGGACTGAGTAAGGGTAGTTTCTAGAGATCTCTAGACTGCGGACTTACCTGGGTTCCCAGGAGGCCTTGCAGGGCTCCCAAGAGGAGGCGAACCTGCCCAGAAAGCTGTCCCAGTAGGGATGAGAGGCAGGAGGGTTCCAGCTGTCCCCGGGCTGCCACCACTCCCTCCAGTAGAAGGGTCACTGCCCCTAGAATGTCCTGTGCCTTGGTCTGTTCCTGGGAAGTTGGAGAGAAGTGGACTGCTTCAAAAAACGTGCTAATAATGGGTGGGGAGCCCGTAGGAGTAGCCAGCGGAATGAATCATAGGAGCTGAGAATTGGACAGGATGAGGCTCCCACCCATCACAGGAATTCCTTTGCAGCCTCCTCACAACTGGTCACTGGCCTCTGCTTTAGTAACTCCAGTGTCCATCAACCTAGCCTCGTCTTGCTAGACTTTTGGTCAGAAAGCCACCCCATCTTAGTACAGCTTTTAGCTCTAGGCTGCAGGGCTGCAAGCCTATTCTTTCTGCTACAAAATTGTTGTACTACAGCACTTCTAAGCTAAACGTAGCGACAAGACTGTCACAATAACCACCAAGATGATGGGAAGGGACTTAACAAATGGCAGAGCTGGGTATGTGGCACATGCCTGTAATCCCAGCACCTGGGGGGCTGACACAGGAAGGTGGCAAGTTCAGGGCCAGCCCGGAATGCGAAGTGAGACCCTGTTCCGAACACAGAGCTAGAGCTGTGATCCGTAGTACTCATTCTTCGCAGTACTCATCCTTCTCCAGACCCAGGGCCCCAGGAGACTTGAAAAGGAAGGGTGTTCTAGGGTGTACGGGCATGTGCCACCTGGCTTGATTTTGCTTTTATTTCTTGAGACAAGATCTCACTGTAGAGCCTGGGCTAGCCTGCAGCTCATCCCTCCGCCCTACCCTGTGAGCTGCTGGGATCCCTAGTTTGTGTCACCGAGCCCAGCAGGGGTTGGAATCCTGATCTTGCCTTTGTTTTAGTGGTACTTTCTGCTTTGTGTCACCTGTGGGCAGTAGATCCGACTGCCTCCATGCCTACTAAGGTTGAGGAGCCACTGAGATGGCTCAGAGGGTAAAGGTGCTTGTGGTCAAGCTTGCTGACCTGACTTCAATCTCTGGGACTTAACACGGTAGAAGGAAAGAATGACTCTTGCAAATTCTCCTCTGATCTCCATATGTACACCATGGCGTGTCCCCACCCCCATTTATAAATAAATGCATTAAAAAAAAGATTGAAGAAGAAAAAGAATAGGTCAAAGGTATAGTCATAAAAGGTTCTAACCAGCTTTTTTTTTTTTTTTTTTTTTTTGGTTTTTTGAGACAGGGTTTCTCTGTAGCTTTGGAGCCTGTCCTGGACTAGCTCTGTAGACCAGGCTGACAGAGATCTGCCTGCCTCTGCCTCCCGGGTGCTGGGATTACAGGCGTGCGCCACCACCGCCTGGCTTTTAACCAGCTTCTTAAGGCATTCAGTTTCACATCTATTTAGCACACACACACACACATTTTGAGATAGAATCTCATCCCTGGCTGACCTTGAACTCACAGAAATCTGTTTGTCACTGCCTCCTGAGTGCTGAGATTAAAGGCGTGAGTCACCATGCCCAGCCTATTTGATATATTGGTCAGAAATTTGTCACCATTTCCCCAAGATCTCATCATAGATGCATGTAAATTGGGTTAAGGTGGCCAAGTTGAAGGTAAGATTTTTAGGGAACTCAAGAATTTTAGGAGGCTAGAGAGATGGCTCAGTAGTTAAGAGCACTTGCTGCTTTTCCAGAGGACCCAGGTTCAATTCCTAGCATGCAGGCAAAACACCTGTACACATTAAAAAAGGGAAGAGGGCGGGATTTTCAAAGACTATGAGGAACAGTAGGGATCTGATGACGACAGGATTTAGGGAAAGAAAAGTAAGAGATTCCCCCCCCCCCTTTTCTCTTTTTGAGAAGGGGGTCTCACTCTAGCCAAGCCTAGCCTGGACTCAGTACATCCTAGGCTGACCTTAGACTGAAGGCAAGCAGTAGACTGAAGCCTCAGCCTACACCTTGCGTGAGTGAGGTAGGCAGTCATGGCTGCCGCCTCTTACCGTCTGGCCCTTCCATTCTCCCAGGCTGAAGTCCACAGCAGGTAGCAGGACAGGCGTAGACAAAGGGTTGATGTCAGGGCACTGATTCTGGTGAGAAAGATGGGGAGGAGGGGAAAAGCTGAAATGGAGAGCAGGATGGTGGCCCGTGACTGAGGTGGCCTCCCTTAGTACCATGCCCAGACTAGAGCTTCTACGAGACTCCAGTGCAGATCACAGCCCCAGCCAGGGAGGGACCGAGACATGGTGGACCAAAGGCGGCAACGCTGGAGTGAGAGGAAATGAAAGAGTCGGGTACCTTATCAGTTAAGGGGATAGGAGGCATAGTGCTTGAGGATGCTCACCAGCCGGCTGTGAAGGAGATGGGAGTCACGAAGCAGTTTATTGAGGAGTCTTGGGTCACAGGCAGGAGGAGCTGGGCTGGACAGAGTTAGTCTTGCAGTAAGGAGAAGCATGGCCACCAGGAGCAGATCTTAGAAGTGAAGTTGAAGGGTCAACAAAGAGAAAATCATTCTTAGGTGGTGACTTGGATTCCCATTTAGGAGCCAGACTTGAAGTACAGGCGTCTGCTGTCCAGGCAAACACCCTTTCTTGGGAGACTGGGTTTCCCAGCCCTCTGCTCATACAGCATCGTTCCCACCTCCTGCCCCGCCAAGCCATTCTTGAACTTGTTCCTAGCTGCCCGAGGGTTTTCTTACCAGTCAGCTCCATTCTGGCCAGGGTTTCTGGCTGGAGGGGCTCCCTGTATGGGGCCTCTCCCCTGAATCTTTCCTGGGGCCATGGAGGCGGCTTGAACTCTTGCACTTCTGCACAGAGTGGTGTGGGGCACAGGTGGGCTAAGGAATCTGTCCTGAAAATGACAGAAATAATGACTCTTCCATCAGGTTTCAAAGGAAAGACTGCTTGGCATGGGGAGACGTGCTCCCAGGCCTCGAGCTGCTGGCCGGCCAGGGCCAGAGCTGTGAGCGCTCCAGCTGCTCCCGTGTCTCCGTGTGATTGAAGCGTATAGTGTCTGTTGGTCAGGGCTCTTCAGTGACTCTGATAGGGTCTCCGTGCTCCGTCTACCAATTGTTGTCCTGCTGAGAACAGCAAGACATGACATATACACACATATCTTCATTGGACTCAAATTCTGAGCAGCCTTGGTTGTTAGTGGGTGAGAATGTGGGATGGGAATAGAGAAGGGACATGTTGTGCAAACCTGGAGAAGAGTGGAAAATGGCTTCTCTGCTAAGAGAGGAAGTGGCACATGTGTTGAAGACAGCTCTAGTGTTGGAAGTGGGTCTGAGGCAGGAGACTGGGTAAAGATATAATGGACCGCCAAAAGCAGGAATTAAAAGAGACACTGGCTTCTCATTCTTTCCCTATTTGCCCCACAAATAAAACCTGGGACTCTTCTTCGGACTGCCAAGTTTGGAAATGCCCCCGTATTCAAATCAAAGGGCTAACTGTACTAGGACTTCCTTCCTGAGGCAAGTGGCCCAGGATGAGGCACTGAGAGCAGAATGCAGCCTACCTCACATGGCTTATCTCACCTTAGACACTTGCCAATGCATCTGTCTCAGCCGCACCTGCCTCCCCGCCCCCTCCAGATCCCTTCCAGTGTCTTCATAGGACCCCCGCTTTTCACAAGTTGAGCAAAGAGGCATTAAGATCCTCCTCTTTTCACAAGTTGAGCAAAGAGGCCTGCACCTGATTCAATATTGGGATCTCCTGTAGGTCTGTCAACATCCACAAGCCCTCCTCCCATTACCCTCTCCTTGTGCCTTGGCTCACCTGACCCAGCTTTCCCAGTCCCAGGATTCAGAACCTTAAGCTAACAAGAATGACCATATGAGAATGGGGATTAGGATTATGTCCCTTAGTGCAAAGTTCTCTAGCCCCACATCCACTTCTTTTCTTATTTTCTCATGGCCCTGAGGCAGCCAGGACTGTTCTGAGTTCTACCAAGTCTGTGAATAGTCCCTCATAAACCAGCACCCAACCCCCTTCCCCTGCTCTGTCCCGCTCCTCCCATTCTGGGAAGGCTCCACTCTTCTTGACAAAGGTCAGTGCCTGTAGGTTCCAGTGTGCCTGCCCCTCCCCCAGCCAAGAGCCCGGTTCTGTTTTGTTCTTCAAACCATACCCTCACTTAACCCCAAATGTGCTTGTCACTCACCGGCTGGAGAAGGGCTCCAGGACCAAGGTGCACAGCAGGCCGCACTCTGGGGAGCAGGTAGGTAGGAAGACACTCTTGGGGCACAGCCCCTCCTCTGCTGTAGGGTCACAAGCCTGCCCAGGCCACTTCCACCCAATCAGAAAGCCCAGAGCCACCAAGTCCTGGTGAAGGCCCCGGAAATGACGAGTTCTTTTCCTACCTACTGGAACTGGAGCCCCTGCCTGGACCATGGTCCATGAATGGAGCCCAGCTCTTCCACACACACGCTCCAGAGAGGGTTTACATAGGGGGAGCTGTCTCATGTCCTATGGGACATGAGAACCTGGGATCTGGATGAGGGGGCAGGAGAGGGTTAGTCCAGGAGAACTCATTTGTCCATGGGAAAGAGAGGTCTTGTTTTAGATTGATGGAGTTTCAGTTCCTGGCTCTCCAAATTTCTTTTCCCTGAACACTATACCTGCTGCCAAAATCCAACAGTTCTTTAGCTTTCCTGGCATTTCCCTTTCCAACTGGCAATTTAGGTGTTGCTTATATTAGGGAATGACCATGTTATAGGAAAGAGGGTATGGACAGTTTGAGGGAGCTGGGGAGTGAAGGGGTATGCGTTTGGTTAAGACTGGTCCCAAAGGGCTGGAGAGATGGCTCAGAGGTTAAGAGCACCGACTGCTCTTCCAGAGGTCCTGAGTTCAATTCCTAGCAACCACACGGTGGCTCACAACCATCTGTAATGAGATCTGTTGCCCTCTTCTGTATACATAATAAATAAATAAATCTTTAAAAAAAAAAAAAGACTGGCCCCAAAGCATGCCTTTAATCCCAACACTTGGGAGGCAGAAGCAGGTGGATCTCCATGAGTTTGAGGATAGCCTGGTCTACTTAGTGAGTTCTAGGCTCGCCATGGCTACATAATGAGATAAAAAGGAAAGAAAAGCAGACAGATGGACTAGACTCAGGTGCCTTTCTTTCTACTGGGGGCACAGGCACCTGGACAGCTAAACACACTTAGCTCTGTGTGCAGGCCTGCCCTTGATTGCCCAATGGCTCTCTTCCATTCCGACCACTCTACATGTGACAAGAGAAATAACCAGGCCCATCTGTCCCCATCTTAGGAAAGACAGCTGCTGAGCCTCCCCCACAAACAGCTCTCTGCTGGCTCCTCTCTTTCTTCCTTTGGCCCAGGCTCTAGCTCCCATGCTTCCTCCTCAGTCCCTGTCTCCCCACAGTCTCTGTCCTCAGGGATCTCCTGGCCTGACCTCGTGCTGGCTCCCTTGTTCTTCCTCGGGCTTTCTCCTTCGCCTCCTCTGAGGATGGGCTGTCCACTAAGGAGTATGGCCCAGATCCCGGAATTCTCTAGTTCAATAAGAAGCGATGCCTCCTAAGATTAGGATCCTGGTGCTGGGACAGTGGGAAGAATGGTGGGGGTGGCAGGACTAGAGAAGCAGGACAAAGGAGGCTGAGAATGAGCTGGAGAGGATGAGCTTGGATGAAGGAGAAGGGTGAAAGTCAGGTGATGGTTGGGTGGGCTTGTGACCAGGTTACAAGGTGTGAGGGAGTTATTACTCCACTGTTTGGGGGTGCGCTTCTTGATTGGGGCTTGGTCCCTGTCCCTGGGAACTCCAGAAAGACAGAGAAGAGACCCTAGAAGGGAGGAATAGTCAGAGTGAACGAAGGAGGTGCTGTGGGTCTTAGGCAGGGGAAGACCGCTGTCCTTTTCAAAGACAAGTCATCATCCTCCAGCGGCCCATCCTGCCCATGACTGGTACAGGCCAGAGGCCCAGCCTCTGCCCTTTCAGTAGCCCGAGGCTCCGGTTTTGGGATGGACACCACAGGGGTGGCCGCAAGGAGTGTGTGGGGGGGGTGTCAAAGCCCGCCTCTCCTCCCCCTCTTTGCGCCCCCTGGTTCCTCCCTTCCCCCTGCCCACTCCGCTCCCCCCTCCTCCAGTCCCTCCCTCCTCCCCTGCCGGGTCCCAGCCTGTCCCCCTCCCCCACTCGCGATCCGGCCGCTGCTGCTGGGCCGGACCCCCCGGGCTCAGCCGGGCTCCTTGCGGAGCCGCCGCCGCGCCCCGTTTGCTGAAGAGGAGGCCCCGGGCCGGGACTCCTGGCGCGGGCATAAAACGGGCCGGAGCCGGCGCCTGGGGCACTAGAGCGGCTTACGGCCCGGGTCAGCGCCCAGCCGCCCGCGTCCTCCCGCCCCGCCCGGCCGGGAGCAGACTCGGCGACTGAGAGACGAGCCCCTCGCCACTGCCCCCCCTCCTGGCCCCGGCCCCCTCCCGCCGGCCCGCCTCCGGTCCGGCCCTACTCCCTCTCCTGCTCCCTCCTCCCGCCCGCCTCCCCAGCTGTCCGCTCCGCGTCATGCCGAGCCTCCCGGCCCCGCCGGCCCCGCGGCTGCTCCTCGGGCTGCTGCTCCTCGGCTCACGGCCGGCCGGTGGCACTGGTCCCGAGCCCCCCGCACTGCCCATCCGTCCCGAGAAGGAGCCGCTGCCTGTTCGGGGAGCGGCAGGTAGGTGGGCGCCAGGGGGAGGCGCGGGCGGGGAGTCTAGCTCGGGGCAAGTCTGCACGCACCGGGAGAGGGCCCCGGGCGCAGGTGGCTCGGCGCAGCGGGAGGGTGGGAGGGGTAAGCAGAGGCGGCAGGGCGCACGGTGCCAAGGGACCCAGGGCCTGGCGGGCAGAGCCCGGAGCAGGCATTACGGCACGAGCAACCGGACAGCGGCCGCCAGCCAAGCCCGTCCCCACAGGCTGCTCCTTCGGCGGGAAGGTCTATGCCTTGGACGAGACGTGGCACCCGGACCTGGGGGAGCCTTTTGGGGTGATGCGCTGCGTGCTGTGCGCCTGTGAAGCGGTGAGTGGATACCGCAGCTGCCCGCCCTACCCTAGAGGGTAGCGGAACGCTGGCGTCCTAAGCCGTAGTAGACTCGGAGATGCTCAGGGGAAGGCTGGTCCTCAAATCCGGGGAAACCCCTTTCAAGTCTGCGGTGTTGACAGTTACTGATCGCCCACTATGTGACTGGCTTTTAGCCAACTTCCCCCCTCCCATTACAACCGTGCTAGAGAAATGGCATTATTAGCCTTACTTTGCAGACAGGGACGCCAAGGCTCTGAGAAGTTAAGAAACTTGTCCAGAGCCATGTAACTTGTAAATAGCAGAGTTGACTGATTCCAGCAGAGGATCTTATCCTGGCGTCTGATGGTTGCACGTTACACTCACTTAATTTCCCTGTGTTCTCTGCCATCAGCCTCAGTGGGCTCGCCGTGGGAGGGGCCCTGGCAGGGTCAGCTGTAAGAACATCAAACCCCAGTGCCCCACCCTGGCCTGCAGGCAGCCGCGCCAGCTGCCAGGACACTGCTGCCAGACCTGTCCGCAGGGTGAGGCCCGATGTGCCCCGTGTTGTGGGTGGGTGGGAGGCTCCAGCACTAGGTTCTGTGCAGCTTGAATCGCGGAGGATGACTGGCCCTCCTGGTACCCTGCTGGAGCTAGAGGTCTTATTCCTTAACCCCGCCCCCCCGCCCCCCTTGACACAGAGCGCAGCAATCTAGATCGACAGCCCGCTGGCCTAGTCTTCGAGTATCCAAGGGACCCAGAGCACCGCAGTTATAGTGATCGAGGGGAACCCGGCGCTGGGGAGCGGACACGTGCTGATGGCCACACGGGTAGGTTGGGGTGGGGGGTGGCCTGACGAAGTTTGGGGCTGGTGGCAAGGGTTGACAGGCCATCTTCTCTTCTCATAGACTTCGTGGCGCTGCTGACAGGACCCCGGTCGCAGGCGGTAGCTCGTGCTCGAGTCTCTCTGCAGCGCTCAAGTCTTCGTTTCTCTATCTCCTACCAGCGGTGAGACAGGGGAAAGAGCCACGGCCAAGGAGTAGTCAATGGGGGCAGGAAAGGGGAGCCTGTAGATTCTGGATCCAGTCTCACTGGACCTTTCTTCACAGGCTGGACCGCCCCAGCAGGGTTCGGTTCACAGATCCCACAGGCAACATCCTGTTTGAACACCCTGCTTCCCCCACCCAGGATGGCCTGGTGAGATGATGCCCTTTATGAGTGCTTATCCAAAATGAGCACTTGCTGAGGGCAGGCTTTGCATCGCCTCCTTTGGTTCTCACAACAGCCCAGTGGGAGAAAGACCCTGACATTATGATGCCCATTTTACAGAGAAGGGAACTGAGGCTCAGAATAGCAGAATGTGATTTGTTCAAGGTCATTTGGCTAGTAAGTGGTAAGCCAGGACTTAAACTCAAGGATCCTGGGTCCTTCTTAGGAGGGTCTGGGGTCTCCTCCCTCGTCAGGACTGGGCCTCTCAGCTGGCTTGTCCTGTATACTGACTGTAAACTTTCTTGTCTCTTTGCTCCAGGTTTGTGGGGTGTGGCGGGCAGTGCCTCGGCTGTCTCTGAGGCTCCTGAGGGCAGAACAGTTGCATGTAGCCCTTGTGACACCCACTCACCCTTCAGGAGAAGTCTGGGGGCCTCTCATTTGGCAAGGTGCTCTGGCTGCAGGTAGGGGGAGTGAGCAGTTCTCAGACACAAAGGGCTGAACCTTCTCTAGCCCAGGGGTGGGTGGAACTCAAGAGAGGGTTTTCTGATGTCTGTCGTGGTCCTCCATTCCCCAGAGACCTTCAGTGCCATCCTGACTCTGGAAGGCCCACAGCATCGGGGTGTGGGGGGCATAGCCCTGCTCACCCTCAGTGACACAGAAGACTCCTTACATTTTTTGCTTCTCTTCCGGGGTCTGCTGGGACCCAGGAATGGAGGTAAGCAGTGGAGAAGACGTCCATGAGCATATAGGGAGGGTGCTCATCATTCAGAAATGCTCACATGTGCAGCGCTTGCAGGACTAGCTCCGGTTCCCCTGAAGCTTCAGATTCTCCACCAGGGACAGCCACTTCGAGAGCTCCAAGCCAACACCTCGGCACAGGTAAGGGAAGGCCTGCATCCTGCTGTTACCTGCTCTGGCCTCTTGCTGTGGCCCACCACATTCTACTCCGTTCCCAGGAGCCAGGTTTTGCTGAGGTGCTGCCCAGCCTTACAGACCAGGAGATGGACTGGCTGGCGCTGGGGGAGCTGCAGATGGCCCTAGAGAGGGCAGGTGGGCCAGAGCTACGCATCAGTGGATACATTACTGCCAGGCAGAGCTGTGATGGTGAGGCAGGGTGGGGCTCGGCGCTGTGGGCACACACAACTGAGAGGCACAAACATGTAGATGTGGGAGAGAGTTCCGGGGGGTTCTGGGTGTGGGCAAGCCTGCTGCCCCCTGTCTTGCCCCCTGCAGTCCTTCAAAGCGTCCTCTGTGGGGCTGATGCCCTGATCCCAGTCCAGACGGGTGCTGCTGGTTCAGCCAGCTTGATACTGCTAGGAAATGGCTCCCTGATCTATCAGGTAAGAGTCAGAAGCTGTAGGAGGTAGGGAGGGCAGCAGGGCAGAGCCTTGACCCGCAGCGGGAAAGGCCCTAGGTCTTGGCTGGCAATCCAGTTGCCCTCCCCCAACCCTGCCCACCAGGTGCAAGTGGTAGGTACAGGTAGCGAGGTGGTGGCCATGACACTGGAGACCAAGCCACAGCGGAAGAACCAGCGCACTGTCCTGTGCCACGTAGCTGGACTCCAGCTGGGAGGACACATGGTGAGGGCCCCAGGCAGAGTTGTGCCAGGGCTGCCAATACATGGGCTGCGGGAAGCCAGGTTGGTTGAGTAGGGGTATGCAGTGTTGTTCGCACACCCAGGGGCTCTCTCAACGAGTCTTTCATTCATTTGACACATTTTAGAAAACCTTAGGCTGGGACCCTGCCCTCGTCCTCAGCAAGCTCACAGTTGAACAGGAGACCGCGGCCAGGGAGAACAGTGCGATAGATGGGTTGCTACTTTGGAGTGTTTAGTGTCAGGCACTGCACTGGTTGCTTTATTTATGTAAATGTTTTGTGACCTTCACAGTACCCTTCGACAGATGAGTAACTCTTCAAGGGTTGTTAGGTGACTAGGAAGTGGCAGTACCCTTCGACAGATGAGTAACTCTTCAAGGGTTGTTGTGTGACTAGGAAGTGGCAGAAGAGGGCCTTGAAACTTCACCTGCAAAGTCCTTGTCCAGCATTATTGGCATGCGGAAGGGTATATGTGTGTAGTGGAGGCATAAACATGGAAAGGCCTTGGAATCTGAAAGCTGAGAGGGCTCATCCTTCTTTGACCCCTAGGCTGTGGGTATCTGCTCTGGCCTGGGTGCCCGAGGGGCTCATATGCTGCTGCAGAATGAGCTGTTCCTGAATATTGGCACCAAGGACTTCCCAGATGGAGAGCTCCGGGGGCATGTGACTGCCCTATCCTACAGTGGGCACAGTGCCCGCTATGACAGTGAGTGCTTCCGTCCACCTGCCCTTCCGTATCCTCTGACCTGTCATCCAAGCATCTAAGGGAAAGTGCCAGGGAGCCAGAGCCTCGCGTGCCCTCCTCTGCCCGAGTTCTGGCTGGCATTTAGAGAGGTGGGGATGCATAGGGTGCTGCCGCTGGCCAGCCCTCCCTGTTAGCATTGTACAAGGATTCCATGCTGTTCCCCAGGCCCCGGGCTGATGGACAGTGCCTTCCAAGCCCCAGAGCGATGGGGTATGCTGAGGGTGAGAGCTCCTTCTCCTCAGCTGTCATCTCTCATCTGTTTGGATTCAGGATCGCCCGTGCCTCTGGCAGGGGCGCTGGTGCTGCCCCCTGTGCGGAGTCAGGCAGCAGGTCATGCCTGGCTCTCCCTGGATACGCATTGCCACTTACACTATGAGGTGCTGCTGGCTGGGCTTGGTGGTTCAGAGCAAGGCACTGTCACTGCCCACCTCCTCGGGCCTCCTGGGATGCCAGGACCCCAGCGGCTGCTGAAGGGATTCTATGGCTCAGAGGTAAGGGAATAGAGATAGGGAGAAGCTTGGACATTTTCTGCTCTTTAGCGTGAAGGGCTGTGTGGGTCTGTGGTTGGGGTGGAGAGAACAGGCAGCCTGGTATGGAGTGGGCGTGGCCTTAAGTGTCAATCAGGCCTAGGTATAAATCAGACTCAGCTTTATTATGTATGCATTTTCTTTTCTGTGTCCTTTGTCCTAAATGATCCCCAGGATAGAGGTCCTGAGTCTCTAAAGAAGTAGGTGGGATGGACCATGCCTCTGAAGTGGTGTGGGCTACTGTAGACTTGGGGTCAGAGAGACCTGGCCTCCGTCTTAGAGACCTTAATCTCTTGGGTCTGTTTCTTCACCTGCAAACTGGGGACAGTAGGCTTTGTCCTAGAGTGCTTTGTGGGGCTGGAGAGGTGGCTCAGCAGAGTGGCTGATCTTCTAGAGGACCCAGTTTCAGTCCCCAGCGCTCATATGGTAGCTCACAACCGTCTGTCACTCCAGCTCTAGGGAATTCAACACCCTCTTCGGGCCTCTGTGGGCAGCAGGCCCCAAAGCACTCATACGCATAAAATAAAACGTTAGGGAACCCTAAAGTGCTGTGTTTCTGTCCTTCACTTGGTCTGTCTGCAGGCCCAAGGTGTGGTCAAAGACCTGGAGCCCGTGTTGCTGCGGCACCTGGCACAGGGCACCGCTTCGCTCTTGATCACCACCAAGAGCAGCCCCAGAGGGGAACTACGTGGGCAGGTATGCGGGGATGGTGCAGTTGCTTGTGCTCTCTGATCCCTAAGGTGGTGGTATTAAATTCTGGCTAGTGATAAGCATGAAGCCACACGGGAGCATAAGGAGGCTGGCAGCCCACCGCCCTCGCTTTGCGGCTGGGATGAGTACTGAAGTGAATAGTCTCTGCCTGGGCACTCCCGTCAACCGCCAGCAGCGGCTGTTAGAGGTACGAGGGGGAGCCCCAGCCCAGCCTCAGTTTCTGTCTCTTCACAGGTGCACATTGCCAGTCAGTGTGAGGTGGGAGGTCTGCGCCTGGCCTCAGAAGGAGTGCAGATGTCAGTGGTTCCGAATGGAGAGGCAGCTACATCGCCTATGTTGCCTGCTGGGCCTGGTTCTGAAGCCCCAGTATCAGTCAAACATGGCAGCTCCGGGAGGCCCCGAGACCCTAACACATGCTTCTTCGAGGGGCAGCAGCGTCCCCACGGGGCTCGCTGGTCACCCAACTATGACCCACTCTGCTCACTCTGCACCTGTCAGGTAGGATGTCCGGGTAGGGCACAGTTGGCCACAGGGTCTGGAGCAAGGGGCCCAGCACACCTTCCAAGCCTTGGCCCCTCTCTACAGAGACGAACAGTGATCTGTGATCCTATAGTATGCCCACCACCAAGCTGCCCCCACCCAGTGCAGGCGCTGGACCAGTGCTGTCCCGTGTGTCCAGGTGAATGTTCTGCAGGGGAGGACAGGTAGTAGAGGGGCATCCACGGGAGAGGAGCGCTCTCGGGTGGGAAGCAGGGACCACTCTGCCTCACCCCTTCTTTGTCTCCACAGAGAAGCAACGCAGCAGAGATCTTCCCGGGCTACCAAACCTGGAACCAGGAGAGGGTGAGATGGGAGGGTGGGTTCAGGGGTGAGAAGATCCAAAGAAGCCATTGGGTTGGGGCAAGGGGACAACAGAGTGTGTGCCTGGGGGAAGCTAGGGCGCACGGGTTCTAAGCAAACCGGATAGGATAGTCCTCATTAGTGTTTTCTGGCTCTTGGCTTAGCCTGGTGTGGGACTGGCCTGAGGCTTGGTTGGGGGCCCAGCTGGCAAGACCAGTACTAATGGCAGCTGGGTACTCTTCCCCACCAGGCTGCTATTTTGATGGTGACCGGAGCTGGAGGGCAGCGGGTACCCGGTGGCACCCGGTTGTGCCCCCCTTTGGCTTAATCAAGTGTGCTGTCTGTACCTGCAAGGTATGGCTACATAAGCTTCTCTGGTATCACAACCCAGTCGGGTCTGCAGACACAGGGAGGGGCTGCCTAGAGAGCAAAACCTGTCTTTGATGAGGAGGCCTCAGGATGGTATCGTGAGAAACGGTCCCTTGGGTTTTGAGAGCAGGTTTCCTGTAGGAGAGGGTGAAAAACTGACAGGTATACATTTTGGATGTGCCAGCTGACTGACTTCATGTGACCCTTGGTGCTTTCTGAATTTCCGTAAGCCCCGCTTTCCTCTCCTGTGGACAAATATGGCACACTACCTTATGAGATACAATGATGATTTGAATTCGAATATAAGGCAAACTCAGGCCTCTGAGTAAAAGGCTGCACATGTATGTCACTTGAGGTGGGAAAGGAGAGAGAAGGGTTATGACTCCCTCTTCCTGACACCCTTTCTCAATGGATACCTGCAGGGGGCCACTGGAGAGGTGCACTGTGAGAAGGTGCAGTGTCCTCGCTTGGCCTGTGCTCAGCCTGTCCGTGCCAACCCCACTGACTGCTGCAAACAGTGTCCAGGTGAGAGGCTTGCTCACTGAGGCCTCACCCTTGGGGTTGGGATAGACCCTGACCTGTGTTTGGGGTGTGTGATGGGGATGGGAAAGGAGCTTCTCACTTACCAAGCACTGCTTGTGCCTACCCTGGAGCTAAGAACAGTGGAGAGGATGTGCATGTATACGGAGTGAGGTGATGGGACTCTAGTCCCATCAACCCAGCCATCCATGCATCCATCTACCTACCCAGCCATCCATCTACCCATCCGTCCATCTGTCCATCCATCCATCCATCCACCTAACCAGTCACCCGTCTACCTAGCCACCTACCATCTATCTGTCTATTCATCTATCCATCAGTCCATCCATCCATCCATCCATCCACCTGCCCAGCCATCTATCTACCCAGCCACCCACCATCTGTATACCCATTTATCATTCCATCCATCCATCCATCCATCCATCCATCCATCCATCCATCCACCTTCCTACCCAGCCATCCATCTACCCAGCTACTCACCATCCATCCATCCATTATCATCTATCTACTCCATCTGTAATTCATCCATCCATTCACTCATCCATCTGTCATCCATCCATCCACCCAACCATCCACCCATCCATCCAATATCTATCCACTCCATCTATAATTCATCCATCCATTCACTCATCAATCTCCCATCCATCCAAAATTATCACCTATCAAGTACCAGAAACTATTCGTTGGTAGGGATTCAAAGAGAGGTAAAGTTAGTTGACCCTTCTGGACTGACTTCGTCTTTTCTTTTCCAACAGTAGGGTCAGGGGCCCATGCCAAGCTGGGAGACCCCATGCAGGCTGATGGGCCTCGGGGGTGTCGCTTTGCTGGGCAGTGGTTCCCAGAGAATCAGAGCTGGCATCCATCAGTGCCCCCCTTTGGGGAGATGAGCTGTATTACCTGCAGATGTGGGGTAAGTTTGGGGGACTTGCATGAGGTGGGCAGTATATGCTTGACCTGGAGTAGGGAAGCCTTCTCAGGGAGATTCCTAGAGATGGCTTTTCCTGAAGAGGCTGAAGACTATAGTGTACTGTGAGGAGCCTCAGTGTCTCTCCATCCTGCACCAGGCCGGAGTACCTCATTGTGAGCGAGATGATTGTTCCTTGTCGCTGTCCTGCGGCTCAGGGAAGGAGAGTCGATGCTGTTCCCACTGCACAGCCCAAAGGTGTAAGTGAAGAGGCTGGGGCAGCTGCTGTGGCCTGGCCACATTCCCCGGGAGGGAAGGGTGCCCTGTGGAGGTGGGAACTATGGTCTGCTTTACAAGTGCCGCCCCAGCCCGCCCCTCCAGGCTAGTCACTTATTGCCGTTTCTTTACAAATGGGGTTTCTGAAGCTCGGGGCAAGCAACTGGACGACAGTTATGCAGGCGGTGTGTGCTGACTTGTTTGGACAATTTGGGCCTTTCTGGGACTGGATCAGAAATCTTGGTGCCTGGTCCCCTATGCCTTCCTCCAGGCCACCCTCCTTCACCATTCACCCGCTTCTGTCTTCAGCAGCCTCTGAGACTAGAACCCTTCCAGAGCTGGAGAAGGAAGCTGAGAGCTCCTAGGGAGCGTCCGGAAGGCCACATGACCAAGAGGATGGGCCTGAGCTGGGAGAAGGGGCAGTGCTGAGGACCCTGACTCTCCTGTGGGAAACCCAGTGCCTTGAGCACCTCTGCTCTGCTTCTTCTCCTCCCTACTACCTCTGGGAACCACAAGTCTACAAGGGCAAAGACTGCTGGGCCGGACCAAGGCCGTAGCCACTCTAGCTCCTGCCCCGTTACTCTTTTGGCCTCTGCTCCAGAAGCCTCTTCTTCTGTACATAATGCCACTGGCTTATTGGGATTTTTAATTTATCCTCACTCAGCACCAAGGGTTCCCTCACACCATTCCTGCTGCCCCCTGAGCTGAGCAGAGTCATTATTAGAGATTTTTGTATTTATTAAAACATTTTTTTTCAGTCTTTGGGTTTGAGGTAGGCTCTTTGTGGCCAGGGCCCTCAGTGGGCCCCAGCGGAGATCTGAAAGTAGGAGGTAAGAGGGGAGTCCCGGGCCCAGATTCTTTCTGACCCTGGGAGCTGGAAGGAGCTTAGGGAACAGGATGGTAGCAGTTGCATAGCATGTCTGGGTTCCATAAAGAGGGTTGGGACTGCCCATCAAAGGGGGTGGAGTACCAAAAGTCAAGGTAACCTCAAGCTGAGTTCCCCATAGCTGGCATTTTTGCTGATGCCATGTCTGAAGCTGCTCCAGGAAGAAACAGAAGTGCCCCCTCCCTGCCCCCAGCCTCTATCCTTTGTCTAAAGTGAGGTACACAATTTCCTTCCCCCAAACAGTTGTTTGCTGACCAGTTCAGGGGCAAGCCCAGATCAGAGTGGACTGGAATCGGCCCTGATCTAGTTAAAACCAAGCTCATCTTGAGATAAACCGCTGTGTGAGCAGAACAGCATGAGACCCCTTCCTTTACCTTTTCCTATTTCCCCACATCCCTGCCACCAGGCACCGGATGCTCTTTCAGGCCCCTAGAGAAACAAGGGCAAAATGCTAGAAAGCATACACATACATGTATAAATAATTCAGGATAAATCTGGTAGGGTGGAGGGAGGGAGAGGTCAGAGCTGCTAGTGTTAGGCCCACCGAAAGTGTAGCTAACAATCACCGTCTTAGCCCTTCAAAGCATCAAGGTCTAGTTCTGCAGTTATTTCACTGAGAAAATTTGCTTCATTGTATCCTGCGTCCTTTGTGTAAGCCAGGTATCTCCCTCATAGGATGCAACCAGAGGACATCCATTGTGCAGCCTGGTATCTGGCAAGTATTCGTTAGAAAAAGCGCTCCAGTTGCAGTGGGACTTCTGGAGGTTGGCTGGAATGAGACAGGAGAACATGCAAGAGAAGGGTGGGCTTCTGCTGAATCGGCAGGATGTCTGGAGGGGCTAGGTTGAGGATGAAGGGTTGGTAATGATGGGATGCCTGGCCTGGGCCAGAGCCTTGGCTCTTGCAGTAGGAGGATCGTGAGGGCCAGACAGAGATGAGAAGGCAGAAGGACCCAGAATGGGGCTCAACATAGGCTGAGCACAAAGGTGTGGCATGATGGGAGATGTGGTTGTGCCACCATACTGTTCTTACCAGTGAGGGAGCTGGGAGTTAGGTGAGAATGACCTGTAGGGCAGCTTGGTGGCTGCAGGAGACAGGACTCATTCCGCCATCTTTAGCTTTAGAGATTCAGAAGGGCTTCAGAGCAGGCTTCAGGATGCCTGCTGAGCAAATATATGAACAGAATGGATGCAGGCAGGGCTGTTCTCTCCATACAGAAGCCGCTGGAATAACTTTCCCATCCTAGACTGCATTTCAGCCAAAGACACTGTTCTAGGTTCGTCCCTCAAGCCCTAGGGAAGTAGGGTAGTGACCTAAGAAGTCCAGCCCTGTTTGTGGGTCTCTTCAAAGTCCTGGCATCCAGAGACCTCAAGAGGGCACCCCAGGGACTCCCCTTTAAGCAGCATGATGTCAGGGGCCTTTCTTTTTCTGAGGAAACCAAACTAAAAACAACAACAGCAACAAAACAACCAAAAAACAAAAGAACAAGAAACACGAAACAAAAACCATGGAGATGTGATTTTTTTGGGCAGCGTCTTAACGTCTCTAAACACTCACTCGTACAACACGTGGCCTCAAAGCTCGGAGGCAGGCAAGTCTGCCGCACTCCTGGGGCACACGGGCTGTTAGGACAGATGAGGTGGTTTGGATACCACTTGTTTTCAAAGAGAAGACTCACGTGTAGTTCTACTCTGCCATGGTCCCTCTGAACTTCTAGTGACATTCTTTACGTGCTTTTAATAAGCAGAATCCAGATTTGGGCATATCAGGCCACAAACAGCCACCAATTCTGCGGCTTTGTTATGGTGGGGCTGTGGCCAAATCACTAGAGCAATGCCTGTGAATCATTTATGGCAGTGACTTAGAAGGGTCATTCTCAAATCATAATTATGGGATGTCTGAAAGTGTCAGTCAACATGGGGGGCATATGGGAGTCCAGGGGTCCCCTGGAGTGGGGAGTCCAGGTCAACCTTTTACTTTGAAGACAGACACACAGCCACCAGCAAAGTCTGCACTCCAAAGATGGGTGGGTTGGTTGGTTTTAATAATGTTTCAGAGTAACTGTTTGGTGGTGTCTCGTTCCTTAGTCTTATAAAAACAATGGGAAGTGGAAACAATGAAGGCAGCCCAGTCATGGGGTACAGGTCTGTAACCCCAGCATTTGGAGGTGGAGGTAGGTGGATGAGGCACTATATGTAGTGGGTTCAGGGCAGTCTGGGCTAATGTGACCTTGTCAGAATAAAGAACAAGAACACAGAAGCAACACTTGTGACGCAAGGTCAGAGACAGGAAGGGGAAGTCTCATAACTGCGGAGTGGACGGAGTTCTCTGAGTGCTTGAAGACACATTCAACCTGACAGCTTTTAGGTCACCAGAGACCACGTATAAAGGGATGAACGTGGAGTACCCAGACTGTACGGGCTGCTGGGAACAGTGTCACATGTGGTAAAAGGGGGGGGTCTGTTAGGAACTACAGCATGATCAGAGTGCTCTAAGAATGGAGTCCCCCACACAAGTGTTTGCCTCTGATGTTTTCACGTACAAAGCAGGCACCAGGGTTGTTTTTGTTCATCATAAAAATAACTCACTGTGTATACATCCCTATCACCATGATCGCGAAGGTGGTTCTCCCAGGGCAGAGCTCATCCATTACATTCTGGATGTGCTGACTCCTGGGTGAGAAACTTCACTGTACAATTTGTGAGTTTACACTCTCCCCTTATAATTATAACAATTACAAAATATATAAAATAATTATAAACACAAATATGTAAGAAAAAAATTCACGGGCTGGAGAGATGGCTCAGAGGTTAAGAGCACTGGCTGCTCTTCCAGAGGTCCGGAGTTCAATTCTCAGCACCCACATGGTGACACAACCATCTATAATTCGATCTGGTGCCCTCTTCTGGAATGTAGGCAGAATACTGTATACATAATAAATAAATAAATCTTAAAAAAAAAAAGAAAAAAAGAAAAAAAATTCACCTAGTACTCCAAATCACAATAACAGTTACTTAGAAAAAAAAAAAAGCAATGGGTTTTGGGGCCAACGAGATGGCTCATGGGTAAAGTCACTTGTTACGTAAGCCTGACTTTCATCACCAGGACCCACACAGTGGAAGGGAACTGACTCCACAGAGCTGTCCTCTGACTTCTCATTGTGACCACACACCACACACACACACACACACACACACACACACACACACACACACAAGCACAGGCATATAGTATACTACTAATACTAAAGTTTAAACTTGTTTGAAAATCAATATTTATTTAAGTTTCAGTTAGTTAAAGCATTTAGTTGTCTGACCTCACTCCTCTCGGTCCTTGTCCTTCTTCGTCCTCACTTGTGACGTAGTCGTCAAGTCTCATTTTGAGGAATACAACCCTTTGCCTTGCAACACCTGGTAAGGCACAAAACCCGAAAGCTGGAAATAGTCCTCAGTAGTCTCAGAGTCTGCCGAATTGGCTTTCAGTTTTCAATTTTTAGTAAATGGACTGGAGTCCACCAGTGGAGTTTCAGCTCCTCAGCTCACAAGTATTGACAGTTGCCCTGTCCTGTGGACAGCTGAAGTGGTCCAAGGGACAGTGGGCCTCTGCTGTTCTTCGAGGGGAGGGGCCGGAGCGGGCTACGGTGAGACGTTCAGTTTCTTCTGGTCTACTCGCCTTGGCCAGCCAGGCTCATTGGCCAAGCCACAGCCTCACTCACTGTGAGACTTGGGTTTCTCTCCCTCCTTTGAAGGCCCCATGCCTTGTTGAGGTCCCTGCTCTGCTTGGTGACAGAGACTTCCTCACTCACACGTGCAGAGGGATAAGCAGAACACACATGAAGGCAGCAGGTGCCAAGGCAAGGGGAGCAGTCTGACGATCCTGGCATGGAGCCCTCAAGGCGGGGGAAGAAGAGCTCCTGTGTGGGGACTGGGAAGAAACCCTGCCAAGTACATGCTCTTCCAGCCCAGCAGCTGGTAGGCCTCGTGAGTCTAGCATGGCTGAGGAAAAGCGCATGAATCAGGAGCAGGTGGCTGTGGCTGTGATTTTCCACACACACAGCAAGAATACTCTGGAAACGGCATTTGCAGCTGGCTGTTGCTGGTGGCGCCGACCTTTGAACATGGGGACCTGGGTCCCCAAGAAGTTCCAACCTTGAAAGAAGATGAGGGAATCCAGGGCACTCTGTCCTATGTGAATATAAGAAGTCAAGAACTACTGGGCGGTGGTGGCGCAAGCCTTTAATCCCAGCACTTGGGAGCAGAGACAGGTGGATCTCTGTGAGTTTGAAGCCAGCCTGGTCAACAGAGTGAATTCCAGGACAGGCTCCAGAGCTACAGAGAAACCCTGTCTCAAAAAGCAAAAACAAAACAAAAAAAGAAGTCAAGAACTTAACTTACTTTTTAAAATTCAAACTTCTGCCAGGCATGGCAGCACACATCTTTAGTCAGTCCTAGCACCCTATAGGCAAAGGTAAGAGAACCTTTGTGAGTTCAAGGCCAGCCTGGCCTACCTAACAAGTTACATAGTGAGGCCCAGTCTCAAACAAACAAACAAACAAACAAACAAACAAACAAACAAACAAGCCTCTCATCTTTTCTGCCTTCTACTCTGGCCATAGAAGAGACATTACACTCCTTATACAGAAGGGTGAATTGGGACAAGGGCCAGGAAGCTGCAGAGAAAGGAAGTCGGGAAGGGAGCGGAAAGGCTTTACTACATCTCAAAGGTATCAATTATCACTTCTAAAGACCTAGGAATTACACGCAAAATGTGCAAAAATGATACTCAGGGCACAGTTCCTTCCCACGTCTCTATCCTGGGCATCTGGGTCCACTCTAGGGAGACACAGTAGCTGAGTCCAGTGCAGAGGACAGTAC